CAGAGATTATATGAAATAACACATAAGGCATCTGGCATATACCTGGCATACAGTAAGCACTGGATGTATTGTTACAACTAGTATTCCAGTTCAGAATGTTATAACAAAATACCATAGACTGGGTAGCTTAAATAACATTAATTTCTCACAGTTCTAGAGGTAAGAAGGTCTAAGATCAAGATGTCAATAGATTTGGTGTCTAGTCAGGGCCCAATTCTGGTTTTGTCTTACTGTATCCTCACATGGTAAAGAGAGGGCTAGTCTCTTCCTTTTTTGTTAGGGCACTGATCTATCTCAACCTCATCCAAGTCTAATTACCTCCTAAAAACCCCCTCCTACCATTACCATCCCTCTGGGATTCAGACTTCAACATATAAATTTAATTCCAAACCCTGTCAGAAGGCAATTCACAAATAAGCAATTCTTATTTCACATGTTAAGGTATCATGGAGGTACTGAGGAGAGATGCCTTATGCAGATTCTGTTAGGAGCTTTGTAATTAGAAACACTTTCATAAGAAGTGACATCTAAGCTTACTACTACTGCTGATAGAGCAAGGTGAACCAGGAAAGAGAAAAGGACTTCAGATAGATGGAAAAGTTTCCATTCATTGGTTTATTCATTCATTTAATAATTCTTTATTGAATGTGTACTCTATGCCAGGTCCTCTTCTAGGCCCTGGGAGAACATAGCAGTGAATAAGGTAGACAAAACATTTATTCCGTTAGTGGAAACAAACAATAAATGAATGAAAGTGCACTGTAATAGCATACCCTTGAAAGCATTAAGAAGAAAAATGCAAGGCAAAATAAAGTGATAGACTAATGGGGGGAAGGACCTTTTTTGACAGTATTGCTGCATTTTGAGAAACAAAACTGTGGGAGGGGCAGGTGTCATCTATGCAAAGCTGTGTGAGCTTTAGCCTGTGCCGACCAAGAACTATTGAACAGTTTAAAGCAAAGGAATAACACAGTCCTCACTTGTATTTAAGTAGGTTACTCTAGAAACAATGTTCAGAGTGGACCTAAAACCATCAGACCTGGTGGAGGTGAGGGAAATCTATTGGGATACTAGAGACACTCAAAAGTTATTTCAAGGTAAAACAAGGATAAGTAGATGGATTAAATCAGAGTGCCAGGATCAGAACAGAGTCAATGATTAGAGGCTTTGAGAGCTGGCCATTCCCAAGGAAAAAAAAATGGAAGGAACATGTAGGTCCCAGGAGTTCATTCTAGAAAAGAATAATAGGAGGAAAACAACAACACAAGGGCCAAGAAATAATAACTGGACCATAAGATTTCAAGCAAAGGAAAATTTAATTCCAAACCCTGTCAGAAGGCAATTCACAATTATTAATATACAGTCAGCCTTCCAGTGCTGTCCAGAACCAGAATTAGTCTGAGTTTGTCTCTAAAGATGGTTGTTTGATTTTTTTTTTTCTATCCACACTATAGGAGAAGAAGAGGTGAGGAGAAGCTAGGAGTGGGCAGGGTGGGTGGGGAGCAAACAGAAAGTCATACAGACACACACAAACCAAAAAAGACTTCCTTCAGGACCCTTTATAAGTGCATCCCTTTATTGGCATCTAATTTATCCAATTTTTATATGAAAATCACATCATTTTTTCATTTACCTTGGTGACTCCATGATAGATATAATTCTTTCCCAAGAAATTCTGCAGTTTTTTTTTTCCTGGTAACACATCAGCAGAAAAAGCAGAGACTTTACTCTCAGAAGACCTGGCTTCCAATCCTGTCTCTGCCCTAGATGAGTTGCATGACCATGAGGCCAAGCCACTTCTCCCCTCTATATCTCTATTAACTCACCAGGAATACACAGCAGGGTTTTATTGTGTGTTACTGTGCCTAGTGCAGAGCCTGACACATAGTAAGTGTTCCATGACTGTTCAATCAGTTTAACTAGAGCTTGGGATGTGTGTGGAGTAGAGGAGAAGAAGGGAGTGAGGAAGGGTCACCAAAAGATATAGATATCAAACTGAGGCATTGATGAGGAGTTATTTAAGGATTTTAAGAAGGAAAAAAACATAAATTTTCTGGCAGGTGCCAAGTTAGAGCAAGGAAATCATTTAGAAAATATATGTGATCATCCATGCAAGAAATAATGAACTCAGGCTGTGCAATAGAAGTAAGAATGCTTTCCTTAGATATTTAGGAAGATAATTAGCAATAGAAATGAAAGAGAAAGAGGAACCAGGATATCTCCCAAATTCTAACCAGATCCATGATCCTATTTAAAAGATAAGGTATATAGGAGAAGTGAAGAAAAAAAGAAGGAGCTCACTCCTCAGGCATTCACTCTTTTTTTATTTTCTATTTTTAGTTGTCAATGGACCTTTATGTTATTTACATGGGGTGCTGAGAATCAAACCCAGTGCCTCACTTAGGCAAGTGCTCTACCGCTGATCTACAACCCCAGCCCAGGCATTCACTCTTGAATGATTCCAGTCATTCCACAAGTATCAGTGGAGTGCTGCTGTAGCTAGAGCATGGAGCAGTCAGCACTGAACACACAAGGATGATCCCTGCCCTCACAGAGCTTACTTACATTCTAGCAGAGAAGCTGACTCAAGAAAAGTGATCCAGGGAAAGAAAGTCTTGACCCTGAAAGAAATATCTCCTTCAAGGAAGTAAATGAGGCTCCAACTGAGCTAAGACAAGCAAGGCACAAAATGAGATGGAGAAGCTTCCAGATCATGTAAGGACTGGGGGATAATTTTAAGGATTCAGGTTTATTTTTACAGTAGCTAAAGCCACTGATGACATACAGGTAGTAAACTAAAGTACAATCAGACTCAGATTTGGAGATTTCAATCTAGCTTCAGTGTAGAGAATGATTAGAGGACATGGATATCCATTTGGCAGGCTAGAAGTTCTGAGAAGCCCACCTGCCACAGAACATGGAGATGGTGGATAAAATGGTGCAAGCATACATTTAAATGCATTGCCAAGCTAACAAGAAAGAAAGAGAAAAATTCTTTGCAAAGAATAAAAAATAAGCTTAAACAAGAATGGCAGGCAAACTATGAAGCCAGTGTTGCCCTGGAAGTCAATAGTTTGCTAATACTACAAACCTAGAGCTGTCGGGGGTTGATAGCTGTGTGGAGGACAGGATCTTAAATCTTTGGGTCATTCAAAGGAGGGCACTATCGCTTCTCGGCCTTTTGGCTAAGATCAAGTGCAAAGGAGGGCACTAAGATATCTCTTCAAAGTTAGAGTGGAGAAGTCATCCCAGGGTCTTCTTCAGTGCATCAGGGTAACAAATAGGAAAAACAATCCATGATATATTTCAAAATGACAAGAAGAGTATAGAATTCCTAACACAAAAAAAATGATTCATTGTTGAAGAGATGGAAATGCTTATTACCCTGATTCATCTAATGCACATTATACACATGTATTGAATTACCATAATGTACCCTATTATGGTTTGGATGTGAGGTGTCCCCCAAACGCTCACATGTTCAGAGGAGAAATGATTGGGTTATGAGAGTCTTAATCCTATCAGTGAATTAATCCCCCGATAACTGAGTGGTAACTGAAGTGGTAGAGTATGGCTAGAGGAGGTAAAAAAAAAAAAAGGGCGTGGCTTTGGCATATATATTTGTATCTGTTTCTTGATCACCATGATGTGAGCTGCTTCCCTCTACCACACTCTCCACCATGATATTCAGCCTCATCTGGAGCCCTGAGGAATGGAGCCAACCTTCCATGGACGAAGACCTCTGAAACCATGAGCCCTAATAAACTTTTCTTCCTTTATAGTTGTTCTGGTCAGATCCTTTTATCACAGTGAAAAACTAACTAAAACGTACCCTATAGAGATGTCCAGATCTTTTTGAAAGGATGTCTCTTCAAGATCCCGATTTTAATTGTTTTGGATATATACTAGAAGTAGGATTGCTGGATCATATAGCAGTTCTATTTTTAATTGTTTTAAGAAACCTCCATCCTCTTTTCCATACCCGCTATACTATTTCCCATTTCTACCAACAGTGTGCATGCAAGGGTTCCAATGTATCAACATTCTCACAAACACTTATCTTTTGTCTTTTTGATTTTTTTGTGGTTTTGATTTGCATTCCTTTAACATTCATAATATTGACATTTCATACAAATCTCTTGTTCTTTCATATAACTTCTGCTTTGGAGAAATATATATCCAAATCTTTTGCCCATTTTTGAAACTGGTTATTTGGGCATGTTGCTACTGAATTTGTTATATAGTTTGGATATTGACCCCTTATGTTTTGCAGGTATTTTCTCCCATTCTGTGGATTGTTTCTCGTGTCACTGACTGTTTCCTTTCTTGTGCAGAGGCTTTTTAATTTGCTATAGTCTCACTTGCCTATTTTTGCCTTTGTGGACAGTGCTTTTGGTGTAACATCCAAGAAATCACTGGCAGGACCAATATCAAGAAGGTTTCCCCATACATTTCCTTCTAGGAATTTTATAGTTCCAAGTCTTTCATTTAATTAATACATATTGAGTTGATTTTTGTGCATGGGGTAAGGAGTCCAATTTCATCCAGATTCGGATAATTTTTCTTTACAATGGAAATATTAATGATGCTAATTTTAGACTACTTTAGAATTTGTAATCTTTATGCTTATTTCTGTTTTCTCCCAAGTTTCAAGCTCAATTTCACATTGCCCTCATTGTAGGTGATATTGCAAGCCAAGAAATTATAGTGACTGCAGGTTGGTTGACAGAGTAGGCCTGGCAGAAATCACATAAATTCTTGAAGTTTGGTGTGTGTAAACTTATTTTATTCTCTAGTCCATAGACATATTGAAATTCTACTAGGAAAGTTCATATGCTACCCTTTTGACATAAACTATGTTATCTGAAAATTTATTATTAAAATAATCTGAATTATTTTATAAAGGTTCTGGGAAGCACAAGGACATTCAGGCAATATATAACAGTAGTGATAATACCTGACAATTCCTACATGATTTATGGTTTATAAAATGCTTTTAGAAACAAAGGATGGAGTCATACTCTCTTCTGGGAAGGCCTGCTCAGCTAACATCAACTCCGTAATCAGATACCACGTGGCCTCTCCTCCATGCTGTCTCCCAGAACAGTTGCTCAGCAAATGACAAGTCAGCTGTACCTTCTGCCCTTGGATTTTTCATGTGGATTAGAGAAATTTCCCTTCTTTTAGAGGTAATTTCCTATTATATGTGTTTCACGTGTTCTAGTATGAAAGAAAATAGGAGCAAATTCTGTTTTAATAACATGTAAGTCGTGTGAACTGGGCATATTATTTACCTATTTAACCCTTAGCTTTTCATCTATAAAACACAGAATAGAAACATCTACCTCAGAAATGTGCTGAGGACCAAATAACACAAAGATCTTTTGAATCTTACATGGATTTCATTATACTTTTTGCAAGTTTTAGTGTTTGGGGCCTATTCATTATTCAAAAACAAAAGAGATATTCATGGTATGACCATTCTAGATGTAAGCACATTATTTTTCAGGTTCCACATAAATAGGATTGTTACTTTTAAATATTTCTAAATTACCATTTTGAATTTTTTGTTATTATTAGCTAACATTATTTTATTACAGTCAGAGGACGTGATCCATATAGCAGCCAGTCTTTGGAATACATTAGGACTTCTTTAACTTAGTATAAGGTCAGCATTCCTAACCAGTTCTTCTGTGCTTGGAAAGAATAAGTATTCTCTATATTTTGAAGTAATGGGGACATACCTTTATCTCTGTGCCTTTGCTTCTGTTGATGTATCAGATCAAGCCCATTAAATGCATCATTATCCAACTCTTCCACACTCTAAATTTTTTTTAGTTACTTGTTTCAGAGAGAACTCTATTAAATATCCTACTATGATGGTGGATTTTATCAATTTTTGTCCTTGTAATTCTGTCAGTTTTTAGTTTATGTAACGTGAAATTATGTTATTAAATGTAACTAATAATATCATGTTGCTATAGCCTCCCAGTAAACTGTTTGTTTTATCCATAATTATTGTTTCTTATGGTTTAGATATTAGATGTTCCCTAAAACATCATGTGTAAGACAATGCAAGAAAGTTTAGATTGAATTATGAGAGTTTTAATCAATGATTAATCCCCTGAAATGGATTAATTGGGTAATAGCTGTAGGCAGGTAGGGTGTGGTGGAGGAGGTGGGTCTTTGGGGTGTGCCTTTGGGGTATATTATATATTTTGTTGGTGGTGATAGGAGAAGTCTTTGCTTCCTGGTAGTCATGTCCTGAACCACTTTCCTCTATCAAATATTTCCACCATGATGTTCTGTCACATCTTGGGCCCAGAACAATGAAGCCAGCCATCTATAGACTGAGACTTCTGAAACCATGAGCCCCAAATACACTTTTCCTCCTCTAATATTGTTCTTGTCAGGTCTTTTGGTCACAGTGGCAAAAAAGCTGACTAAAACACTATTTGTCCCTACCATTGGTCTATCACTTCATATCTTTTTAGTTTGATATTAATATTTTTATATGGTTTCTTTTGGTTAGTGTTTCTCTGATATGCATTTTTTCTCTCTTTAGCTTTGGCCTTTCAGGTTTCCCTATGTCTTTTCTAATTAGGAATACAAAAAGTTTTCCTTTCAATCTGGGATTTTATATCTTGTAACAGATAAATTTAATCTAATTACATTTATTATGGTTATTAATACATTTGAATTTAAGTCTTTCATCTTATTTTGTGTTTTCCACAATTTGAATTGGATCTCAAGTTCAAAGAGGTGAGCTAATCACCCATTTTCAACTTATAGCAATTTATCTTTAGTTTTGCACTCTTTAATTTTCCATTTTCCTTCTTCATATCACTCACTTCACCCACTCTAAGGTGATTAGAATACATTTTTAATGTCTAATGTGGTTATAACAATTGGTAATTGTGTTTGAATGTGCATTTTGCTAACTTAAATAAACACTATATTTAAATAAATCTCATTCTGGTTTTGTATTTTTCACCCAACACTGTTGTCAAGCTCTATCCACGTTGCTACAGGTACATACATACATGCATCATTTCATAGAACACAGCCAGTATGTTTTACTTAGTCATTCCCCAAGACTGGAAACCATGGTTTTCTTCTACTTTCTGTTTCTATAAACAACACTATGAAAAGCATCCCAGGTAGGTCCTCTTGTAAGCTACAGTAAGAGTTTCTCAAGGACTGACATTGCTGAATAATAGACTATCCATGTGCTTAATTTCACTGAGTGAGAATTATTTTCCAGAATGGCATGAAACTTTGAACTTTCATTATTAGTGTGTGAGTCTCTGTTTCCTTGCATCCCTGATAGCCCTATATGTTAGCTGTAGTTTTTGCAATTTGATTGATATAAAATGATATCTAAATATTGACTTCATTTATAATTTTCTGATTATTAATGATTTGGGACATTTTTTTCTTTATATATTTATTATTTGGGATTCTCCTCCTCTGAATTACTTATCTGTGTGTCTTGCCCAATTTTCTATGGGATTTCCCATTTTCTTGAGAGCTTGGGTTTTGTTTTGTTTAAATTTTTTTTTAGTTATATGTGGATACAATGCCTTTATTTATTTTTATGTGGTACTAGAATCAAACCCAATCCCTCATCCAAGATAGGCAAGCATTCAACCACTGAGCTCCAGCCCCAGCCCCTCTTTTGTTTTTAGCTAGGAAATGAACCCAGGAATTCATTTAGCACTGAGCTACATCCCCAATCCTTTTTATGTTTTGTTTATTTATTCATTTAGTTTTGAGACAGTACTAAGTTGCTTAAGGCCTCACTAAGTTGCTGAGGCTGACTTTGAACTTGCAATCCTTATGACTCAGCCTCCCTGGCTGATAGGATTACAGACCTCTGCCAGCACACAGGATTGTTTTGTTTTGTTTTGTTTTGTTTTGTTTTAAATACATTCTAGGTACTAACCTCATGACAACCACAGACATTGCAAATAAAAATTTCCAGTCTTTTATGTGACTGTTAATTTTGTAAGTCTTTGCTGGAACAATTTATCAATATTTACCTTACAGTTTTTGCTTTCAGGAATTTGTATAAGAGGTCTTTTTTACACCAGAACACAGAAAGATTCCCCTACATTTTCATCCATTAGTTTCATGCTCATATCTTTCTATCAAGTTCTTTAAACCATCTAGAATGCAGGGATTCCACTTCCTTTTTCTTCAGATGAACTAGAATGGCTTTCTACAAACAAATCAGAATCTGACTGTAATTCTGACTGAGATTATATTGAATGTACAAAATAACTTTAGGAAAACTGAATACTACATTAGGTAGACCTCTCCTGAAACGTAATCTCTCTAACATTTAGATATCTTTTCTGCTTTTTAACTTGGATGTTTTTTCTATGTAATATTGTGCATACTCTTTAATTTTTAGATACTTTATCAATTTACTTGCTATTATGAAGAGTAGCATATCTTCTTTTATGTTTTATATTTATTGCTGCTATAGTTCAGGACTAATATTGATATTGTAAGATGACACTTTATATGGCAACCTTTCCAAACTTTATTGTTTTCAAGATTTTATTTTTTTAGAACAGATTTAGGTTCACAGCAACATTTAGAGGAAGGTTCAGAGATTTCCTATACATCCCCTGAGCCCATGCATGGAAAACTGTGTCCTTATCAATGACCTCCACCGGAGGGCCATTTTTTTACATTTCAGGAATGTATGTTGACACATCATTAACAACAAAAGTCCACAGTTCACATGTGGGTTCCCTATCGGTGGTGAACACTCTTTGTACTTGAACCAGTGTATGTGATGTGCATCCACCATTGTGGTCACACAGAGTTTTTCCCTGCCCTAAAAATCCTCACAACATCTGTCCAACCCTCTCTCCTCTCTAAGCTCTGGCAACCGCTGGTCTTTCAACTGTATTCTTAGTTTTTCATTTTCCAAGTGGTTATAGGGTTTTTGTTCTTTCTAGAAGTTTTACTTGCTTTTGTAAACCTATATGTTATTTTTTATACCATCAGTACATTTATTATGGTTTCTATTTCTTTATTAAGCTCTATAAGCCCTTTAAACACATTTACTATATAAAACCTTTCAGATTGCTTTATCTGCTCCACTTAATGGGTACTAACTTTTCACCATTAATATCTTAAATTAGGTAATTTTTCTCATAATGCACAATTTCCTTACATAATCTTCACTATGAGCTCATTTTCAGTGAGGGTCATATTTTCTAAGATTTATTAAGGTCTCTGTTATAGAAACATCAATATAGAGTACTTGTCTCTGAGGACTACAGAAATGTCTAAATCAGTTTCATCCATAATATCTCAACTCATGACTTCAGTACTATAATAGTAACATAATTTAAAGTTGGGGTTTTCTCTTTTAAAACTGACTTTCTTAACATAATTTAGAGCCCATGGTACCCACTAAAGCTTCATTAGTGCTCCCTCACTTTCCCCAAGTGTCCTTTCTATGGCTGGGACAGCTGTCCAAACCTCTAAGCTTTCTGCAAGAGCTCCCCTCAAAATCCCTGCAGTCTGAGTCCATATTTCCTGTTCTACTATGGATTGGTTTGAGGTTCCCTCTTTATTTCACACATAAGTATTTTATTTTTCTATATCAGCTTTTATTATTTTTAATATTTTGGTTTTATTGGGGTTTTTTTCCAGCAGATATCTGTTTGCATGCTGAAAGAATACAGTGTACATCAGTTTGGTCCACCTTGGCACCAATAAGGTTTAGTTTGAGTGCCTTTTTATTTATTTATTTGTGGTGCTGAAGATCGAACCCAGGGCATTAAGTAAGCATTAAGACATTTTAAGACCTTATTCTCTGATCATGACCCCCCAATCTTGACATGAAATATTCCACTCAGTCATTCTCAGTATCTACTCATCTAATTTAAAGATACACTTAGAGAAAAGTTGAGCCAAGCAGTTCAGGTGACTCTGCTGAAATGTTCCTTGAATTCTTTGGGTCTGAATTTCTATGCACCTTTCAATTCCTATGGTTTTTTTTATTTCCTTAAGAAACAAAAGTTATACAAAGAAAGTTACTGTCATTTTTAGTCAAAAATATATCTTCCTTGAGTCATTCAGTAATACTTTCATTAGGTTTTATGCATAATGGCTGGATCTTTCCATTTCCCTTTGTGAGATTAACTGCCTAATTAAAAGAACCGCA